GAGCCCACTCGCAAGAGAGCAGCCACCTGGAACCCCAAAACAATAAGCCCTCCCCTGATAATAAGGCCCAAGCCATATTTTGTGGGTAAAATATAAGACCCTGTCTTATTTTCGGGGAAACACGGCAGTCGAGGAAAACTTTGGTCTCTTAAGAATTGACACCCACGTGCAAATAATTAACTTGCTTATAGTTTATTTATTTTACCCTACTTTTATTTACTTTTTTGCAACTCAAGGCTACCTACATACATAACACATCTTCTTTTTCCTGAGGTGATTTTTTTTTTAAAAAACTAGCAATATTAATAAAAGAAAATATTTGTAACTCAGGGTTGAAATGAGGAGTCCTTGATTCTGAAGTTGTTGGTTTTTTGCAGATGTTTCATTACCCAAACTAGATAACATCATCAGTACTAAACACTGACATTTTTGTTAATGGAATAGACCTGTTTCTGCTACTTTTAAAAGCCAGTAACAGGCAGATTAGAAATTTTGCATTACAAATTGCCTATGCCTACTAAAATAGATTTATCTACCTTAGTAAATGTGGAAAACAGGCAGCAACACCCCTGCCTTAAAATTGGGAGTTCTGTTCATTATTGAAGTTTGACTTGGGTGGGGAAGGCCTAGGCTTCTGCATAAGCCTGAAAAACAGATGCTTTTTAAAATAAAACTTAAAACTGATTGAAGTTAAGGTGACTCTTAAATAGAGAAAAAAATAAATCTTGTCCAGGCTTTTTTCCTCAGCCTGAAAATGGTTGGGCTCAGGGGTGAAATCCAGCAGGTTCTGACAGGTTCTGAAGAACTGGTAGTGGAAGTTTTGAGTAGTAGTTCAGAGAACCGCTAACAGAAATCTTGAGTAGTTTGGAGAACTGGCAAATGCCACCTCTTGCTGGCCCCAGAGTGGGGTGGGAATGGAGATTTTGCAGTATCCTTCCTCTGCCACGCCCACCAAGCCACATCATGCCCACCAAGCCACGCCCACAGAACCAGTAAAAAAATTGAATTTCACCACTGGTTGGGCTGCTCCAGAGAAGCAGAGGGAGATGCCGTCAGACTTGGGTAAAATAACTGTTTCTTCCAAATTATTTTCAAAGTACTCACTACTCAGTACAGCATTCCTGTGAGCATCCCTCACTATAGCTCTGGTAAAGTGATTCAGTTCAAGAAAACTTCTGCTGAGTTGTGGGATTTCTTCCATGCTCTACTCCACGCACATGCGGAAATGTATGACTAGTTTTTCTTTTTCTTTCTTTCTCTTTCCTAATCATTTGCATAGGGATTATTCTTTATACTATTTATATTGTTTGTATTTGTTGTCTTGGATTGTACCAGTGAGGCTAAAACCAATTTCATTGTATACATAATGGACAATTACAATAAAGGCTATACTATAAGATTATCAGGCAAAGCAGGTCGCTACACACACAGCATTGGATTTCTGTAGTGTTAGCAGTTCACCTCACACACAAAAGACCCCTTGTTTGAAACGAAGCATACGTGTATATACCAAGAGTTTTTGTTTTATAGATTAATTTGAATAGATCCATGCATAATCATATTAAATTCAGGTAAACATATTTTGCTTGCTTCTAAAAAAAACTGTTGGGTTTGTGCATTTATTAAGCAATATCAGTACTGCTTCTTTCATATTTTATTCTGAAATCTGACAGTTCAATCCATAAATTTGGATTTAAAGTGTAAAAATGAAATGCAGTGTAAGAATTGATCTAAAAAAAGATCCTGGTATTTAAGCCGCCATTTATTATTTCTTATAGTCAAATGTAATTAAAAACTTAAGGTGTACTTATATATGATATATTCATTTCTTATAATTTTGTTTGGGAACGTATGCAATCTTATACCCACCTTGGAGTAAATGCTACAGTTTGAAATCAATAGGAATGTAAGGATGTATGGAGATGAAATAACATGTTAGTCGATTTTAGATTTTAATTTTCAGTTAAAAGATTTCTAGAATGATGGAAGTTGTAGTCCAACAGTATTTAGGGATCCATGTTTATGAAGAAGTTGAACATGAGTTTAGTTCTAGTGACTAGTCAGGCTATTATTTTGGGGTCCCTTTTTGGTCA